GGAAGAAATACTAATAACAAAGTATATAGAGAGAAAAACAATGAGTATCATATAGGATACCAGTGTCCTAAGCGATAAGTAAATGGCTGTTCGTCTTCATTAACAAACATTGGATAGCTGCAAAATTTAGTAAGAATTGGACTACTCTGCTATATTTTAAACAGAACACAGTTGTTTCGACAACATACCTGTCCCTCAGCGTCGAAAGTTGATTTAACACACAGGAAAAATATCGCACAAAGTCACAATTTTAAAATATAACATTCATATGCATTATGAAAAAAGGGTAATCGACTCCACGATTTCCATCATAATACCTTGACGACAACATGTCACTGGAAGTTTGGCCATCCGTTCTTAATGGAGTATAGATGTAATAAGCTAAGTACAAGAAACTTTGATCTCATGTATTGCCTGGTTGAACATATAGCAGCCGATAAAGTTGACGCGCCTATGATAAGCTTCAATAGCCACGAGTTTAAGATCAAGGAGTATTTAGGGCTAAGAAAGTTGACCATAATTCAGACGTTTTGGCAACATGAATAGGGAGTTTAAGAGCCTGTTTACATGGAGCGGGGGACCCCGGTCTAGTGGGGTTGGTTTCTTTTGTTTTCACGCTCTGGGGGACACAAAACAAAAGAAACCTACCCCACTAGACCGGGGTCCCCCACTCCACGTAAACAGGGTCTAAGATGCTACAACGGCGGCGACAACGAGAACATCAAAAATTAAAAACGATAAGTTTAATAAGCAGAAAAAAAAACTCTATAGATCACGCTTTTTTATCCATTTCTTTGCCGCTGCACGACTACGACAAAAAGTCACTAAAATGCCTAATTTCGCGCGTTTTATACAGAACGTAGAAAAGCGACTACGAAAGCCTTCGTGCGGGTTGTGAGTTCGGTGTCAAAAAAGTATGCAAGTCTAGATCTCCGAATGGCGGGTTTCAGCTCGGGTGCAAGTGGCATTGCAGATCGGATCCACTGGTTTAATTTTACTGCGGAGACCAGCATATCGGCCATGCATACTATGTATCTGGGTTTGCCGAGGGTTTGATTAGTCCCTGGGCCTCATTATTGCCCGCGGCTGTTGAGCTTCGTCGGGTCACGTGGTCTGAGCGAGTTTCACCGAGAGGCATTGATTTTTGTTTTCTTTTCTTAGTTTTTTCTCTCATTCTTCCCGCCGTAAGGATCAGTTTCCTGTTTTCTAGTTTGGTTTTCATTGGAGATTCTACTGATCCAGGTCTACTCAAGATCCGGCTGACCTCACTGGTTTGTTGCTGTGGTTTTTGCCTTTACAAATGTTTTTGCCGTGAGGGCCTGGAAAGACACCTAACAGGGACTGGGAAAAATCTGGGTGAGGGAGAAGTGTTTAAAAACACAGACAGGTCCGCAATCTAATGGACAGAACGCAAATCATAGTTCGATTCGTTGAATCTTTCCGCAAAAAAAGTTGTGAAGTGAAGTATTTTGAAGTTGGTTTTAAAATTTGCCTTATCTTTCAAGCTTCTTCAGTTTTTGAGTCAAGTTTCGTCAGGATTTTGTCGGTGTGGATTTTTCCTGTTCTGATCGTTTTATTTTACTGGTATTTGAACTTATGCTTAGCTCGTGAATTTACTTTCCGTTTGAATGGAATATTCTTGTTTTGATCTTGTCCCTGTTTTTGCTATCTACCCGTAACCAGCGCTTTTAGATTTTCATTATTGGCTTCTGCCCTCCTGTCAAAGGTAGCCGTGCGACTTCCGAGTACCCATCCTCCCTAGCCTTGTTTTTGTGGCTAAAGGTCAGCCAACCCCCGCATGTCCACAGTTTGGCTATTTGCCGAGTCGCACAGGAAAAAATAACGGATTCCCATTTTTGGATATATTAGGGTATTTAAAGAATACCCATAAAAATCCCAAATTTGGCAAAGTGAGACAAGTCCCAACCAGGGAATTCCCAACCAAGTTCCCATGCCAGATTGGGACTTGTCTCACTCTTCCAAATTTGGGATTTTTGTGGGCATTATTTAAATACCCTAAAATATCCAAAAAACGGCCAAGAAAATGTGAATGAATATAATTCAGGCACTCGGTTCCTCTTCACCTGTCGAGCGAGTTGCAAATTTAGTAAAATCCATGATACAGAAACAAATACTGAAACAGTATTGCCTCGATCCAGAGGACATCCTGATATAGTACTAAATAATGATATCCAAACAAACTGACAATAACTGAATTGGTTTTGGTGGTCAGTTTAATACAGAAGAGAGAGCACACGGTACAATACATATGATCTTTGCTCAGACCCCGCATGAGTATCTTTTGCACATGTACATGTTTCATCATTTGCTTATTGCAATATAAAGATTTCACACAGGGGTGTGAGCAAAACAACTTAATTTATTCTATCTCATTGCAGGGGCCAATTCACCCTCGGAGACCCAGGGGCAGTCAGTGCGCTTAGTGACTGCCCCTCAATCTCGTTCGAAGAGGCCGGGACCTCTGGGCCCCCCTGGGGACGAGGGATGACTGCCCCTGAGTCTCCGAGGGTGGAGCTAATATAATCAAGACTTAAAACTGCACATGGAATCAATTTCAAAATAATAATAAAATTAGGCACAATGTCGCGTTGAAAAATGAAGCACTGCCTCCACATTTCATACTTAATTAATCATTTCATACTTAATTTAGCCTAAGGCTGCCAGCTCTTCTTTTTTCAATCTAGCGTGCAGCTTTTTTTATGAATTGAGTCGATATATTAACAAATCATAAGCATGAAATAAAAAATATCAAAAATATATTTACAATCGTCATCATCATCATCACATATCATTAAATTAGACTAGACTCTTGTTGTTTTGGCTTTAAAACATTTAAAAAGTCAGGCGGGAAAATACTACGGTTATATGTGTGTACTGTAAATACATCCATCCTTAGTATATTATACCCACTCTTCATCGCGCAGGAAACGCGCTGGCTTTTACAGTATCTCCTTATACCAACTTTCTGTCATTTTTTACAACTCCTGACTCTCACTTCTACGCCGTTTGTGCGGGGTAAGTCGATATAATTTCCTCCGTTTACAAATATAGCATTATACGCCATAACGTCAGAGACGCCTGGGCCAAAACCCTGAGAGGGCAATAATTATAGAAGTCCCCCCTAACTCATTGGTCAAAAGAGACAATTAGCTGGAGTAGGGCGTTTTCTCATTTTATAAAGTAATTTCCATGATCGACATGAGTGTAAATCGTGCTTGATTAGTTGAAGAAGAATAACGAGGTTGTTAACAAAACTAAAATGTGTACAATATCTGTACATAATAATAAATAAATAATTTGCATCATGGCAAGTAAACTGGAAAATATAACATCTAACGTTCACAGACAGATTTACACTTAAGAATTAGCGGCAGGTCGTTTTCACGAGCCTTACGCTAAAGCATACATTAACAACAAATTAAGTACTCTTTAAGGTGCAGGTTTGCCAAGGGTCTCAAAGGATATTCTCGGGATCCACGGTTTGACCGAAGTAAAGTGCGGTATTCCGAAAAACGAAAAATTTCTTGACGGGATATGGGATTTGAGCGCCTTTCGCCGGGAAGCGGAATTCGCCAAGATCTTGGCACGGGATACGGTCTTGGGCCAAGAAATAGCCTGCGAGCAAGCTCTCCAGGGCGCCCTGGCGGGGGGAGGAGGCTGGAAAAGGAAGGGGAGCTTGCAACTACGTCTCTGGAATTGAATATTTGCATCGAAAAAGTCAACGCGAAATGCTGATTGGCGGAGATGACATTAGCGATGACATAATTACCCGTGGCACGTGTTTACATTGGCGCTCGTTACTCTGTCCCGCTGATTGGCAGAAATCTGACAGCTCAGTCGACGGTGAGCAACATGGGTATTGGAAGTGGAATTCAAATTACAGAGACGTATTTGAAAGCTCTCCTTCCTTTTCCCGCCCCACCGCCGGAGCGCCCCGGAGAGCTTGCTAGCAGGCCAGCCAAGAAAACACCAACGGTATTCGGGATAGAGGTGACAAAAGTTTGGGATGTGGGATTATCGTGAAAAATAATCGGGCTGCGAGATCAAGACCCGTATGATTTCATTTCCGTATGATTTCATTTCCTGTCACATGGAAGCATGGGCAACTGGATGTGTAAAAAATATCAGTTAACGGATTTATCTCAGCATTTTTCTTAAAAGAATGAGCTTCTTTTCGTTGAAAATGCTTCGCCCTCGTGTACAATTATGTTGGCAGATGGCGCCCACAGTTACATGTAATACTGGTTTCAGTCTTCAAGCATTATGAACCCAGTTGTTCAAAAGGCGGATAACGCGGGGCTATACCAAGATAAATCACTATCCACTCTGAGTTCATTTGGTTTCCCTAATACTTATCCACTGGATAGAGATTTATCCATCGGATAGCGCTATCTAGTGTTTGAACAACTGGGGCCAGAACGTTTGTAAGTACAGTAATATAATAAAATTTGAACAGTGAAAGTTTTAAGTTTTACCTTTACAGTATTTTGCTTAGCTTATGCATTTTTCTCTCCTTTGAATGCGGTCAAGATTTACTTAGCTTCTCTTCATACAGGACCAGCCTCGTTCTCGGGGACAACCTAGTCACCAGGGCGCTTTTCCCTCTTCCAAAGCCAGGGAATGAAAAGCGCCCTGGGGATGAGGTTGTCTCGGGGACTTTCCCTTAGCGCTGACGATGGGGACGATTAAGGGCGGAATCTTCATTTGGCAAGAGCAGCACGTCCTGAAGATCAATTTTTCAACAATCCGCATATTTGCGTTTGCGATCCGTACATTTCATATTATTCTCCAACCTTGGCTCGTCTTTTACAGGGTTCAGTTACATCAAGGTGACCGTTACTGTTCTACTAAAATAACACACTATTCCTTTTTTCATCACCACGCCTTCCTTCCTTTCATCGAACGTGCTGTTGTTATAAATAGATTACGGTGCACAAGATTTCCATGCAGAAAGTATCAAAACAGAATTTACACTTCCTTTAGTAAGAATACGTTTCCAAGAGCCTTTTCTTTTTCCAATCTCGTGTTGTGATTGGTGGGTACTTATTCGAGCCATCTACACATTCGATAACTTCATTGAGATCTGGATCGGTAAACAACACCAATGAGCGGCGGGCAACAGAACGTGTTTGCTCAGACTCTGGAATTAACACACGATGGACCTAGAAAACAGTTAGGGTGGAGCGTTACGTCTTTAATTACCCTTCTGTAATATAAGGAACTCCAAAGGTTATTTTGCGCGCTAAATCTGTTTACCTGCACGCGAAAGCACTTCGTATGATGTTTCGAGAAAAAAAAAATTGCTGCACTGTTTAACGAGACTACGCTTACGAAAGTGGGTGTTATGACCTTTAATTGTGGCCATGCAAGAGGGGGGCATAATCCAGGGGGAGGGGGAGAGTCGGCGAGTGATTGACCTCCCTCCCTCCCTCGTTAAACAAATCTGTTAGACAGATGATGTCTTGAATCCATTCGCTTTTGGAATTACAAGTGAGCATCGCGCCGGCTTTTACTCCTGATGTTAAATAAAATCAAAGAAGAATATACGAGAAGTTTGCGTACCGAAGACTTAAGTTTGTCTGCCGTCCATCTTTGCATCAAATCTGCGATGTTGACCAGTACTGTTCCTTCAATGGGTGGAGCGGGTACAAACTGACCCTTAACATTCTTTACCTGTGAATCAAAGTCAGCAAGTCAAAGTTTTCACCATAAGAAACCCACATGACTGGAGCAAGACATTAGTGTAAAGAATAGAGAGGAGAAGTCGTTACGTCACGTTGCCATGGTAGCGAAATTTCTGGATGACAACACACCGAAAACGTCACTTAAAAAGTGAATTTGCACTGTTTCAAACTTTATCGATCTTATTCTGTTCCATTTAATTTGTCAAATGTTGGCGAACGTTTCTGGAATTGAATCCGAAAGGATCGTATCTAAGTTACGAAAAAGAAAAAGGTTTTTGTGTTGTGTTCACCTTGTACTCCATAAAGCGGGCGCGTAAAATTAGGAAGTTTCATGTCGCAGGAATTCGTGCAACGACGGCCAAGAAATGTACAAAAAAGCATAATGCACGTGCAAGGTTATTCTTTTGCTGATATAAACCTATTTCTTTTTGCCGTTTTCGTTGACGTCGCCGTCATCATTGCTTGAGCTCCCTATCGCTGTGATCCAGAAATTTTGCTACCATGGTAACACGACGTCACACTTCTCCTCTCTGTCGGACTTCTTTTACTTACCTCTAATCCCCCTATGCTGTCTTGAAAAAGAACCGTAATAGCACCATAATCCGTGTGCTCTCCACATCTTATCTGGTCTGTCTTAACTTGCTTCAACTCTCCAACTTTGGGATAAAAGTTATACCTAAGCTGAGTTGCACCCTCCGAAGTACCCATCTTTTTGAAGTAGCGCGTGAATGCATCTGGCTCCTAAAAGATCAATGTCAGCAAAAATAAACAGCAAATTAGAAAAAAAAATGCCAGCCTGTGAATACAGTCGTCTATCCTCGTCTCCTCGCCGCTATTTACGTTTGGCGGGAGAGACGTCAGCGCGCCTCAATGACAGAAATTCCATACTGGTGAGGTAAAATCTGTCCAGAATCTGGTCAGGAGCTCCGATTGCTCCCTAGAGACGAGAAGCGTAGAAAGACGACTATATTCCCCGGATACCGAAAAATAAGTTACGAATACAGTAAGCCATTTACATTAAACTATTTAATTACACAGACCTTTCCGGTACACGATGAAACAAAGCTGAGGCTAGTAGACTTTATTGTATAAATTACTCCCCCGGGGGCAGGGGAGGAGGTACTCAACAAAGTTTATAAGGACTGCGGGTACCGTCCCGAGGTCCAGCCCCTTACCCTCTCATATACAATTTTTGTCAGAAAAGGCACTCATTTCGTATACCTCCTATTGACGTACCTCTTTCACCTACCTAGTTTAGAATTTTACACCCCTTTTTTAAAACTGCTGTAAATGCACCGTTTTTAAAACATGAACAAATCTCAAAACCATAACGTTTTCTCGACTTTTTCACAGCCATGAAATGCATCTGTTCACTCTTTTGGGCCTTTAAACCGACCGAAATGACAGATTTCCCTACAATATTTCAGAAAGGGAAACCCTACCCTTTGATATACCTGAAGCCTGAAAAAGGTCCCCTTTTTGGTCGGAGCCTGGCCTGTATAGGCCATTACACATGTAGGGAGTACGCCCCCCGGAAAATACTGATGTTTGTCAACCAAATAATGACTCTGCAAGCAGACGCAACTTCTTCAGAATGTGTATTAGCTTGCGAAAGCCATGAATAACTGACTGCCTAAAGGGTAGTCAACCTAATCCTCACATCTAAACAACAACATAGTTACATAGAACTTGTAGACTGGTGCATAGAACTTGTAAAAAATGTATATTATGTCAAGGAAACTGTTTTTTCATGTTCGACCCATTCTAGACCAGGAGATGCTGCCCCAAATTACCCAAATTGTGTTTCAAATCAAGCACTATGCTTGGTTTTCCTTCATGGTGCAAATTTCAGGCAAGTGCAGAAGGGAGAATTAATCGTTTTTTGCTTAATCTTTCTCCCAGTTTTCTAACCTTGCATTTATCAATTTTTACTCTTTTACCTTATTCATGCATGAAAAATTTGACCGTGGACCCTGAATTTTTAAGGCCTTCCTCTAGAGAAAATTACTGATGATGATGACAGTTCATTTATTCACTTGTACTTCCTACTCGCCCTTCCACAGAAACTTGACAATAGTTTTGACATCCCTTTAAAAGCTTGTTTTTAAAATTAAAATTTTTGATGACTTTGAAGGGTTCCAAAATTACAATGCAGAACCGAGAAATGGTGATTGCTCTCGATCCATAATGTAAAACGTTCAAAAAAGACGAAGTAGCATGTAACAAGTCCAAAACATGAAACAATAACAATTTTGAGTCTAATTTGACAGAATGGTATAGCTAGACGTACACTGTATCAAGGTACCCATCATCTTAGTAACAAGAACAGAAATTAAAATAAAACAAACAAGGTTACATGTACTTACTCAACTTAACTTACTTATTATTTAATTCATTTTTAGGCTATTAACCTACCAATTCCAGGCCTACTGCCATTACAGTAAGAATTCTTAAAGCTAGATCTGAGACAGTTTGGTAGAAAGAAATCACTGTGTTACGAAAATTTGGCAGCTCATTGTTTGGCCACATCTGTGTGTTAATAACAAAATAAATGTTAATTATTGAGCAGCAACAATTAAGTTTGATCACTGTGCAATCACAAGTATTATGAAGAAAAGAAGGAGATGATAAAACAACAATTGATATTTCCCGGGACAAAATCATTGGCCCAAAAAAGAGCTGCCCTTAGAAGGATCAAGTGGTCCCTTTCAGCTTATTTTTCCCTGGGGCAACAAGAAAATTTTAGTCTTTACATAAACATGTTGGGCAGCTTGAGGCAAAGGCTAAAGATAATTTTTGGACTAGAGTCTGTACCTTGCATTTTTCGTAAGAAAACACGCAGACGGCCTTCACGCATGGAATTGTACATTGTTTCCTTTAGCCCTTGAACTCTTAAGATCTGATTAGTAATTCTCTTTTGTGGCTGCTATACATTTAATTTTATTATGCATTAGTTAAGAGAATTTGGGGCTATATCAATATGGCAGCATCTGGCCAATTAATTTGCCTATTCTCATCACCTCTTTGTTGGACAATGTAGTGCATATTCTAAGGAAAATTTACACATCAATTATTTCTGTGAGTTTAAGGTTCAATTAAAAAGTTTCAAATGAAACAGGCCCAAAAAAAAACCGTTACTTATTAAATAACAGAAACTGTAAAATCAGAACAAAAGTAGTGTGTAATTTTTCACACTTACAAATTTTTTATCCAAGCATTCAACATCAAAGGACTCTTTTAAGTCTCCTGGTCTGTCTGGGTTAAGCCTGAAAAGAAAATGACTTAAAGCTTTAACTCCAAATAATTCTCTTTTACTCTGACAGTAAGAGGACAAACTGAGATTTCAAAATCTCATTAATAATTCAAAAAGACAAAACAAAAGAAATCAATGTTTAATTAGTGTCCTTATATCTGATAAAGACATGACTAAACTGTACGTCCAATTTTTTAGACCAAAATAACACCAAATCTAAATATTAGTGCAAGAATGAGTTGATCTATATCAGAGATTTTGAAGCCATTCAAAAAACTGGCAGTCGTCTATTATCAGGCGTAAAAACTCTAGGCTTCGCCTCAACTTTTTAACCTGACAATCCTGCTTGTATTTTTTTTTTAAAGTACTGAAAACATTCCAACATGAATTTCATTCTGAACTACATTCATCTATAAAATTAATGTACACGTCTTTGGTTAGTTTTGGAAGTAGACAAATCCTTAGTCAAGATGACTGATGTTTTCTGTCGTAATAATAATATACATGTATCCATCATAGGTGTAGGAATTTCATCAGGATGTTGGATTCTTGTTTCACAAAAAGCAAAAAAATATTCTTGGTAAATTATGTGAAGTTCCCAGGGAGTCTCATGCGGCAATAACTCATGCTATTTCCCCATTTGTTTGTAATACTAACAGTATGGTTACAGTAAACACATATTGGCATTTACAATAAATAATTACAATTATTGCTTTTTTGTCCAGATTAAATGCATTTTTAATGAATTATGAGATGCCATTGGATAATGTGCTTTAGGTCTACTGAAGTCAAACATAGCACTTCAGAAAACTAACCCTTCTGATAAAACTCTCTAGAAAAATTATTGCAGTCCTGATGAACATGCAAAAAATTTCATATATATACAAAGTTACCTTTCTCTCTCCACTGCGTCCCAGCCATTTGCTGATGTTACATCTGTTTTAGCGTATTTTGCTTTTACTTCAGGACTCAAGTTAAAGAACTGATCAAAGGTTTCAAAAACTGTGTCAACCTGCAAAAAAGAACAAAGAGGTCTTCCTAGGCTAGAGGCTGAATAAGCGGGGAGTGATACATATATCCTAAAACTTCTAATTTTCAAAAACTGTTTCACTTACTGATGAGGAAGCCATGTTGACTCTGTTGTTTTTACTACTCAGAGTATTTGTGCTAGTTTTTGTTACTGCCTTATTAGTTTAGGGTGGTCTGTACTCATGTTGTCTGTCTTGTGTAAATGTTGCTGTTTCAAGCCACGTTGCCTGTCAGAATTCTACTCTAACAGGACCTAGATAGAGCACTTAACTCCATCAAATGGAATGTACCACTGTAGAGTCCAGAGTTGTATGACATAAGTTTAAGCATATAAGATGAATGATAAAGCGCAGGTTAAAATGGTACATTTTTTTTTATTAACAATGATAAATGGTTAATATCAAGAGAAACTGACACCCTTTGAAAAAGCAATTTTCACCTCATAGTTTCACTACATTTGAAAATGCATGTGAAAAGTTCATGGGGATAACTTAAGCCAATTACAAGAAAAAAAGGATGTCTCTGCAGTGATAAGCATGACTTGAGGGGCTCTCACCAGCACTTTTGCAAAATAATTATAAAGTAGTTTACTCTTTTTAATTGTTATAATTTTCTTGTTTTTCATAATACGTCACCAAAATTCAAACTAAGAAACCACCTGTTCTTCTGAGTTTCTTCTTTCATGAGGTATTACAGCACCTAAACATCTATACAAATTTTTGGTTTGAAAGGGTTCTTTGTTTTGTGATGGAGAACAATTACATTTTCAGGCTTTTGCTTGATGCGGTATTTAGCTGGCAGACTGGAAAGCTATTATATGGGTTAAAAACTCTACCGATTTTTTGAGATTTTGCCGTATCTAAACATTCCTTGTCTCTGAATAAATATAACTTTAATAGTTATGAGTTCCTCAAAGTGATGTTTTTGCACTTTTGCATCCCCCAAGAAAACTCAAAGACTTATGTTTCTATTGGTTTCCGGCAGCCATATTTGTGCCCCTCAAACAGACACTAACATGGCGACTCCATACAAAGATTTATAAATTTGGGTACACGCTTCTTCGAATATCTTGCGTTTGGAATATCCCACAGACCTGATTCTTGGCAAGGCTTTTTGAATTTAACTTCTTTCATTTCCCAGTGTCTAGTGGCATGACAATGAAACAGAGAATAATAATTTAGGAAACCACGCCAGGTGGCTATTGTGGGTACAAGCTCCCATAAACAATTTTTGGAAAAAGACCTCCAAATGTGGGAAATACGACTGCCAGTACAAAATTAAGTAATAATGCCATTATGTTGTCATGACAACTCCTATAACTATGGGCGTGATCCATTCAACCAAACATCAGACCGGTGCAACCGGGAAAAGTGGTTCACCTCAAAAGGTGGACCAGTTTTTTCGAAACTTTTCCGGTTGGACCGAACCGATCCACTGAGTTTTGGACAGAAATTACCGGAAATTTTGGTTGAATGGATTGCGCCCTACAATGCTGATCATAACGGAATTTTCATTTTCATCTCATACAGCTGTGGTGACTGTAAATGGAAAGTAGTTAATGCTGAAACTTGGGAGGTCAATTATTGCTCCTAATTAAAACTTCACGTTGCACAATTAACCTTGTAAAGACTAATTTAAAATTAGAAAGCTGCCTCTGTAGCCAATAAGCAGGGATTGGAGGTTTAACCCTCCAAAATAAGTGTACAACACATTTATTTACACAACACTGCCAGAAAAGTCGCGTATTTTCTATAAAGGGCCCTAAAGTTCGAATTAATTTCGAATTTTGCTCCCGGCGTTGTCAATCAATGGTTTCCGATAATCGATAAAATCAATAATAATCAATAATAATCAATAACAATTAATCGATTGGTATTGGAAATCGATAAAAATCGTTGACTTAAAGTTGTGTGAGTATCGATTTCTATTGATTTTCATCGATTGTTATTGATTATTATTGATTTTTATTGATTATGAAATTTGTCATTTTCTTAAATAAAACGCACCATATGAATGAACAAACCATTCAGTTATCTTTACTTGTTGTGTTTTATGTTACATTTGTAACATTTTTACCCCTTATTACTATTAAAAGCCACTTATATTACTAGACTCTGATCGTCTCGAAACAAGAACAAAATTGTCTTTAAGTCTCTTCAGTGTCACTCTCTTCCAGCTTGTTAATTAGTTGAGGAAATTGTTTTTGTCTGCGCTCACTGTCATGCTGCCTGAATATACGCATGCAGGCCAAGAACATACATCTTGAACATTCACCCGTGCAACCGAAAGGGAAGATAGCAGAATAATTGTTAAAAGGAAAATGTAATGCGCTTCCAGAGTAGCATAAAGAAGGCACTCTACAACGCTCAGAACACTTGCTTGGTATATTAGAGAGTGCAACAACACCATAATACAAAGAATCATAGATGCATCTAAGAAAAGCGAAAACAGCGCAAGAAGACCAGGACCAATGAAGCACGCCCACGCTAACACGCGCCAGAAAGTTGCATAATGAATTATTAATCAATGATTTTCTATAGTAATCAATGGTAATCAATAGCAATTAAGACTCCGAGTGTGAGTATCGATTTTTATCGATTGGTTGCACCAATCAATAACAATCAATGGATTGTTATTGATTATTATTGATTGTATTGATTGCAATCAATCGATCGGAAACCATTGATTGACAACGCCGGGATTTTGCTCTGTACTTACCGTCTCTTTTGAAATCCCATGATTTTTGAGATAAACAAATCCAGTTGTGCTAAAAGCTCTGTAAACTTCATTGGCTACTATCCTGATAGCCTGGTCGTTTTCCGACAGAGGATCTTTGTTATCTAGGCTCATTGCACTGAAGTCCACAACAGGAATATCCGTCACTGTAGCCGCCATTTTGTCTTTACTAGATGGACGCGAGGAATCTGGAACGAATAATTGAAGAATGGCTAGTTTCTAGGCCCCCTGGAGTAAGTAAATGAGTATTGTAATATCGAGAAAATGTGCAAAACAGGCGACGTTTAATACCTTTCAAACGATTTGACTTGTTATTTGTGCATTGCTTTATTAGTAAATTATTACGTTGAAATTAATAGGTCCAGAGCTAGTATTGTGTGCAAATGCGGGTGGAGGAAACGGTTTAAGGTCAGAGACGACTTTTGAGAAGAACAAATTCTTAAAGAAATTGATCTCATGCAATGGTCATCCTATTACAATACCGAAAAGAGTGCAATGAAATCAACTAGGCTGTCAGGAACATGCATTTATGATAGATACTTGCAGACGTATGAAATTCGTTCGTTTTTCAGTTGCGTGACCATTCCCTTTTCTGTTTATAGGCACGTGTCATTCTTTTGCCCAATAAGAACATACCATGCATGCATATCATCAGGAACACGCAAACGTTTGCTTTTGCTTGTTGTTTTGTAACGTCGTTTTGTGTATCAAGATCGATAGAAAGGTAGGTCAAGAATATCTGCACTGTTCAACCTATTAACCTAAACCTTTCTTTTTTTTTTTTTTTTTTTTTTTTTTTTTCGCGACCTATCAGAAGCCCTTGTAATACCATCATTAATTTAAAGGTGTACAATACTCATGATCAAACTCCTAAAACGCATTGCTCTATACTTGGAGTGTTGGATGTCTAGAAGCAATAGGGATTTAGATGTATACTTTTATACAAAAAATCTTGTCTATTCTCGGTAAAACTTGCTTAGCGGATTAATTTTGATATGTACAACCGAATCGATGACAATTTTTACCGATTGTGGCGGCGAGGTCCACCGATCGCAAAAGTTTTGAGCTCCCTTGTGAAGATAAATCTGAACAGTTTAGGTAACTGTACCGTATATAGTCTGTGCTTTTTAAAATAGTCAATACATCTAAAGCCTAGTCAGGACAAGGGTCAAATCTAATGAGTAGAAGGACTACAGAACTGTACACATCATTGGAAACCTTCCCGTGTCGGTGTTTAGATTATTGTTTCGTGATATATCATCCTCGATCCAGGCTAGGTACGTCAACGAGTAAGTATTGCATAATTTTTGACTATTGGTCACATATAATGTGCAGTTCGTAACCACCTTAGTCTCATGTGTCTATCGATGACATGGGTCAAGTTTAACGGTTTTCACCGACGAAGGGTTATACACCCGAAACGTCTGTTTTTGCAACCATTTATGACACTCTGATATTTCTGTATTATCATGGCTTCGCGGTAGACTAATTCAGGTGGCGTACGTGACGAGCCTGGGTTACCTGTGCCCAAAGCCAGCCTCATTTGAGATTTTTGGGTGTATTTATGTCACCGCATTTTCCCCCGAGTGCTTAGTGTGTCACGGAAATCTTTGCAATATCGCCCTAATTTGAAAGTCACAACCGATACCTTAATTTCCGGCAAATTCAGTTTGCTTCAGTTGACACTCTTTACTTTATACAAAAGGCAAAAGATAAATTATAAAGAACAAATACAAACTGTATTAAAAGTATGTGTTCTATGACGGACGTCTTAACACTGTCTTAAGCAGAAGTTCTGCACACGTATGCTCTCCAAAACTGTGCCATGAAAGTGACTTCAGTTCTCACGGCAAACCTAAATATTAATTTATTATTATTAGAATTATTATTGTCTTATTCATTTATTTTTACTGATTTATAGGTTCTGCTTTTGTCAACCCTGTGAAGAGTTTAACATGGCGCCCAATCCATCATCTCCAATTCCAGTGGTAGACTTCAATCCAATGAGTCTAGACGTCAAGGATCCCGATCAAAGCAGCCAAGCTGTTAAAGACCTTGCTAAACAAGTGTACCAAGCTTTCAGCACAATTGGATTCGTCTATATTACAAACCATGGAATCCCACAAGAAACGGCAAGTTTATCCTGTTTTTATGACCTGTTGTAAGAACCGTAGAGTGGACCGAATTTATACCTGTGGAACGAAACTTGCAACATTTCGGGGAAACTAGCTCGTTCCTTTACAAGAGTACTAAAAGCGTCCACAGCAGGATTGCCGTCGAGAACATCAGGTTTTATATGCCTTAGCTCTAGCGCTAGATTTTATTATCAAGGCGGGTCTGAATCAAATCTAACTGCAATCTTTGTGTATGCGACTATTTAGCGAGATCCTTGGTTAAAGTTTGGTAGAATTCTTGGAACATTGGTTGGAATTATTTCTTTTGATCGTCACTCATGTAAATTTGTTGTGGTCGTTTGCTCACCATGTGAGTTACCCCACCTAAGCGGATTACCTCATCTACCTGGGGTCCCCCACCTCCATGTAAACACAAAGGAGTCTAAAGTGTTTCATAACCATCCTACTTAAGTAATGATGTGTTGGTTTGTCTCAGTTAGATTACTTGCTTGTTTTACTTTGTTAATGATCCTTGTACCTTGCAGATTGACACCACTTTCGAGACTTATGACAAGTTTTTTAACTTGAACATTGATGTAAAGAGAAAATATACAAAGAAAACTGGAACGACAAAGAATGGCTGGGATGAGCTTGAAAGGGAAAGGTATACCTACTTTATTATATACCTCTACGGAAGAAAATTCTTCCAACCTTTTACTACAATAAGGAATCCAAAAGGGAAAGACCTTAGTGTCTGCATGCATTATTTTTAGAAATGTCCGATGAGTACAGTGATGGAGGTAGGACTGAATTGTGTGGATTCTCTTTCTGGCCTAGAGCAATAGAACTAGCTAATAACCCTATAAATAGTCAGATCCTCCGCACTATTAAAGTGTCCATACATCTGTAGAAGCCCGATTACATGCACTTATTAAATGTTTATTTTAAATGTTACTAATTAAAAGGAAGGTAAGAGATTATACAGTGTAGATTATTTCGTATAAGAGTGAGCACGTTTTTCGAACGATTCAGATATTAGAAGCTCTGTATCCTACGAGACGCAGTGAAGCCACGTAGAGTACTATGTTCGACTCTACGACTAAACTGGTTTTAATTTGTAGTTAATTGTTATTGAATTGTTATTATGATATTTATTTACCCACGAAACACGTGAAAGCGTTTTTAAGAACTCGTGTGCCCGTGCGTTCTAGATTGAAGTGGAATTTGGAAGTTTTGGTTTTTTGAGGAGATGGGAAAACCGGAGTACCAGGAAAAAAAATCTCAGAGCAATGGATACAACCAACAAATCAACCGAATATTATGGGCACCTTTTTACATTTGCTGTTAGAGTGCATTTATTGGAAGGGAGTTTTTCAGTAGAGTGCGCGACGTTAACTAATAGGGAGCTTAAGCAAAGACGTTTTTGAGCAACGGACGTCAACCGGAAGTGAGGACTTTTCCCTTGACGCTAAGTAAATTGTATTGCTTAGTTTCTTTACTCCTATAGAGACGATTTGACTGAAAATTTGGGCAAAACCATCGCCCAAAAATGAAAAAGGGCAACTTCCGGTTGACGTGCGTCGCTCAAAAACGTCGTTGCTTAAGCTCCCTATTATGACGTCACCGAAACTTTGTGTCAAATTGCAGCACCAACTTAAAAAGACCTGGAGACCTCAAAGAATCATTTGACTTCAGCGTCCTGGAAGATGAAAACTTTGTAAGTGGCTGTTGCAAATTTATTTCACAATAACATTTACAACAGCACCTTGGAAACTCCGTGAGAAATCGTTTAGGAACACTCGACTGGAACGGGTCCTCCGCTTTTTGCTGAAAACATATCGATAGTTCTGTGGTTGATTTTCTGGCGGAACTTTCTCCTGAAGTTAATCAGAACGGCGGCGAATTTCGTTTTGCAACTAAAACAATGGCACCATATGAAATTGCTAGTAAAGCAGGGTTTGATTTTCGAATGATTACATAATTTTTTATAGGAGTTTGTACACAGACTCACAACGCTTACAAATGAATATGGTGGCAGACGCCACCAATTTTGCCTCAAATGTCATTTTAGTCAAAAGTTACCTCTTCATGAAATGAAAAATACCAAAATGAAATTAGGCAGGGATTGTCAATTATTTCTATCTGGCTCTGATCTGCCGTAAAGAATATATCTAACGTGTAATCAATTGCCACTTCACAGACCTGGCCCAACGAGGAAGTGCCAAACTTTCAAAGCACTGTTCGAACCATTTTTCAGTACATGACAAGCCTTGGTTCAAGAATGCTGTCTGTCATAGCCATTGGCCTTGATCTGGTAAGATCGATTTTATTGTATTATTTTTTTGGGAAGGTAGGATTTACAGCTGTGAGCACTGAAATATAATTCCTAAACTCTAAGTAAAAAGCGAAATAATCTTAGATAGTGTGTAAGCCACGTGACTCTCTTAAGCCCCTTGCAAATGGACGCAACATTGTTGGCCAACAACTCCCACCAATGTTGGATGTTACATGTTGCGTCCGTTTGCACACCCCGTTGCATGTTGTTGCGTGTTGTTAGGATTAATTAATGTTGCCCAAAGTTTGAAACCGATCAAACGTTTAGCTACCGTTTGAACGTAGTTTTATGATGTGAGATGAGATGTAAATTTTACTCTACTGAGAGTGCTGTGAAGTGAGAAACTCTAAAAATCTTTATGATTATAGTCAGAATTTAAACCCAGGGGGTACTCCGGATTTCAACAAGTGACAGGGATGATCGACTCAGAAATTCGGCATGGTATTTTTGGGGTTTTGTTGGAGGCCCTAGGGATTTGGGAGGGGGGTTTGATTTTTGGCCCCATTCGGTCATCCCTGTCACTTGAAAGCCGAAGTACTCCCCAGTAATTTAGGAGGATACATTTGACAAGGAGTCCTGAAATTAATTGCCAGTATAGCGATCAAATCTGTCTCTTCCCCTGTTTACCCCATAGGGTGTATTAGTTTGCTCATTAGACTGAGATTGAGTTTCCAACTACCAAAGTAATTTCACAGCCGACTTGTATGAGG